ATAAAGTCGGAATTCTTCTAATATAACGTGCTACCTCATTTCCTTCTACTCCAAACAACTCTTGAATTAGAATTCGATAATCCACTGTCATCACCCCCCAACCTGGATAAAAATCATGATAATCATACATCTCTAATTCATCTTTAATAAATCTACACATTGCAAGATACAATGGATGCTGTGAAACTATATCACTGGAATATTCTGCCATAGCTATTTCATTGTAAGCAAATCATCATACTTAATTACTCTTGCACTTATGTTCCTTTTATATTCCTTTTATATTCCTTTTATATTCCTCTCTTATTCCTCTCTTATTCCTTTTATATTCCTCTCTTATTCCTCTTCTCTCATATCTGAAACATGTTATGCTACAAATTATATGCATCACCAAAATTGTTTCACAGGATATCTGTTTCAGGTAGGTTTAATTGGACTTAGATGACTCTCTTTCCTGATTCACGTATCATCTATAACAGGCAGTTGGTGGTGACAGGGCGCTCATTTTTATCATTTTATTCGCATTTTCAGTTTCTGTGAGATACGTTTCTGAAGTGGTATTATATATTAGTTATTTTTTTGCTTGTTTTATTTAGAACGGGGCAAGAATCTAACCTCAAGCGGCTTAAATATGCGCCGTATAGTGACTCTGCAATTACACAGTAAGCTATGTAGATTGTTTAGCTTCTTGATAATCTAGGTAATTGATAAGTACGACACCCATTCGTCTAAATAACACTCTCAAGCCTGATCATTAGAAACGCAAAATCAATCATTCGTAGCATAACAGATTTTGACTTGTCATAATTAAAATCTATTACCTAATAATGCATATCAAGCAAACACGCTTTTTAACATATCAAAATCATCCTGCTCCAGCCCGCTAGCATAAGTATTGATTTTGGCTTTTGCTAGTGCAAAACCAACGATGTACAATAGCCCTTCTTTTGTACAGAGAATATTGTCTTCTCTAATATCCCTGTGTACGATTCCATTCCGGTGAATTATCTCCAATTGTTTCTTGGCTTTCT